ATAAGTGCCGGCCTGGAGCCGCTGCGTCCCTCGCTTCCCGAGCGCTCCGGATTTCAGATGTCACCCGCGGGTCAGCTTGTACGCGGCAGCTCGGAGAAACCCCGCGGGACATCGATCTGCCACTTGAACCTCCAAACCGGATTGTCGCACTCACTTGAGAAGAACCGTCGCATTAAAGGCGGAACAAAAGCCAGGAGCTCCTAATTCCGTAATCTCATTCCAAATCCTCTCGCCTCTCGCCCGTCCTTATAGGCCTGAAATGCCAATCCGCTTGCGGTAATCACAGCGCTAATTGGTGCCAAGGAAACGAGCGCCGCTGAGTTCTGTGCTTGTGGACAGCCCCATCGCGGCACGGCGGAGGGGAGAGGTTTATAGCTGAACTCCGGACACAAAAACTTTAATTTTAATATATTCCTCAATAACCACAAAAATATATAAATCCACTTTGTGTGACCCAAATAGCAGTGACATCATCGCTGTACATAGCGGTCTTTATTACAGGAGGGGGGCGGAGCCAAGACCAGTCACCCTGCACAAGGAGAGAGAGCAGTGACCGGTCTTTATTACAGGAGGGGGCAGAGACAAGACCAGTCACCCTGCACAAGGAGAGAGAGCAGTGACCGGTCTTTATTGCAGGAGGGCAGAGACAAGACCAGTCACCCTGCACAAGGGGAGAGAGCAGAAGTGACCGGTCTTTATTACAGCAGGGGGCGGAGACAAGACCAGTCACCCTGCACAAGGAGAGAGAGCAGTGACCGGTCTTTATTACAGGAGGGGGCAGAGACAAGACCAGTCACCCTGCACAAGGAGAGAGAGCAGTGACCGGTCTTTATTGCAGGAGGGCAGAGACAAGACCAGTCACCCTGCACAAGGGGAGAGAGCAGAAGTGACCGGTCTTTATTACAGCAGGGGGCGGAGACAAGACTGCACATTGACAGAATCGATGCAAAATGCATAACGCGCTTCTGTTAACATTAATTTCGAATGGCACCCCAAACGCGGCCAGGAAGACACCCGTTTTTGCGCTTGCGCGTATTCAAACGCACACAAAAATGCAGAAGCAAAAAAACATGGACCTCGATTCGCAAAATCTGCTACATGAGCTTTTTTGCCACGTCTGTTGCGCGATCAGGACCCCACTGAACTCAATGGGGACATGCAGCAAACAGTTTGCGAGTGTGACGCGCATTCACGGAATGTGCAGGTGTGAATGCGGGCTAAAGGTTCCGAGTGTAGGCCCCCCGCTGCCTGCCATAGAGAACACTATACAGGGATGTCTGGTCACATGACACACGCTACAATCCTCTTTGATACAAAGTATCGCATTTTTATTCTCGGGTTTATTTATCTGACGCGATGTCACAATTATGAGCGTCTGCAGCAAATCTTTATTCCCGCGCACACGGGAAACGCTCTCCTACAACCTCGACCATGGAGACATTTCCAACCTGTCGCTTTCACTTCAACTCAACCCCCCGAAAATAAAAAATGGCTGCAAAATGGCCGAGCGCAGTTTAATGTTATCAACGAATTCGATAAGAATAAAAAAAACGAACGGAGGAGACGTTCGCGGCGTGAAATTGAACGGCGGGGCTCGGCACTTTACCGACACCCCGAGCGAGGCGCTGACGCTTCAGTTTACAGCGAACGGGCCGTTGCGGACGTCTCTTCCGAAGTCCTAAAAAGCCGAGCGGATCTATTTTTACTCGCCGTCACGTTTTCGCCTCACGAGCGCTTTGTCCGGGCTTTTTGTGATTATCACCAATTTGACGTTTTCCTCCTGAAGCTATCTGACCTCAAGTTGTCATCTCGCATGATTCACGCCGCCGATGATTTTCAGACAAAAGCAGGTATACATTTCCGAAACCGAGGGGGGGGGGGGGGGAACACAAGAGGAAA